GGCTGCAGGAGGGGGGGGGCAAACTATGTCAGTCTTGGGAGTCTCTTGGGAGCCTTTTCTGTCAGCATTCTTTCTAATGTTACAGTAACCTAAAGAAAATCTGTTTATCTACATGTAGTCGTATACAAGAACACATGGCAGATGAGGCATGACTGGCTGTATTCTTCAATGGACCTACATGTATACCATTATTATGTCACAGTTTGTTTACCTGTTCTAAAGAACAATCTAGAACAGTCAGTTAAAGAAGAAAGATCATTTCAAAGTTTTCAAAGTAAGGTATGTCTGATTTTTGCTGCGTCTAGTTGTGTTGACACAGCATTACGTGCCGCATGGGTGATTTAGTTGTGACATTAGACGAAAGTAGTACACTGTATTGAAAGCCTTATATTAGGCTAATGCTACACAAACACACACCGCGCTACGCACCCCTGTACAATATAAACGGCAATTGACCGGCATTCATTGCGGTAAACAAACTGTGACGTAATAATGGTATTATAATAGGTCCATTGCTGCCTGGTACAAACTTATGGCAACATATACATCGTACACTGGTAGAAGTAGTGAGAGAAAGAGGAGTGCCCTACCCTACAACACCAGCGCCCAAAAACACCAGAGTCAGAAGCCTGGAAAAGTGCAAAGAGCAGAACAGTCATAGCAGCTAAGTGCAAATAGAAGAACAGTCATAGCAGCTACATGTACATAGCAGTTGTAAAACAGCTTATCAGCTGAACTACAAGCACATGCAGATGGGGCATTCTGCTACAGAGGAGGAGGACTAATTTCCAAGCAGAAGTAGTCTCATGCATGTACACAGCTAGCCCCTGTTAACAACCCCTGTTGGCCTGTAAAAGACTGGTGGATTTTATCACTGCAAGAACTGGCGCACTAAAGAAAGGGGAAAGACCGGTAATGCAAATACCAGTAACAATACAGGAAAGACAAACAGAGATCTACACCTAAATTCTCCTGAAATCAAGGTTAAAGAAATGTCTGATTTCATTTTGATTAGGAAAATATTTCCATTGTTACTTTAGTTGTAAAGAAAGTATGGCCTGAAAAGAAAGAAAGTATGACACAAACATCACAGTAAGAGCCACCCACAGGTATTCTCCCAAAAAATGTTATAACTTATAACCCCTTGAGACACTATTTCTTGCTTATTGGGGGCAGATTTTATTTTCCCTTTGTTACGGCTTCATTCTAAAGTCATATTTTCATTTTTTAAAAGATTTATGAAGGTTCTACCCCACAAAAGCACCCCTACACTGGTTGAAACACAGCGTAGAGGTCCAAGTCACAGCGCAGAGGTCCCTCAAATAGCCTGTGAGAACTATGACCCACCTTGGTTCCGCACCAGTCGCAGAAGCGAGCGTCGGGGTTGTTGACCCGGCCGCACTTGGAGCAGGTCATGAGCCGGCCGTGGGGGTCGGGTTTGGGCGCTACGGGGTGCATCCCTCCGTGGGCGATCGGCTGGACAAACGACAGGGGGTTAGCTGGTACTCAGCCACCGCAAGTACGTAGATTCCATGTACCAAACTAGCAAGAAAGTAGCATATGCCAACTACATGTAACAAGGACCACAATTTACAGACATATTCCTCTTTGTGTTCTTCTCTCATACATCATTAATTTTCAGGAAGCCTGAAACATATTAAAAAAAACTGGTTTGGGATTTGTCAAAGTCCATCCTCACCTTTCCCATAGGAGGTAGCCTGGTTTCACACATCACACATCTGTCCAGGTCGGCTGGGTTAGCTGTGCTACAGGCAGGGCACACTCGCTTACCCTGGATCACAATACACACACACACACATGGGTTAGAGTCTGCACATCTTTGTACATGCAGGTTTTTGAATGTACAAAGGACCTATAGTAGGATCATGTCTCTATCCTGTTGTGACTTATTAATATTATTAAAACATGGGACAAGAAATCATATAATTGAACAGGGTTTGTGAAATTTTGTTCAATTGTTAAAAAGCATGTAATACTATATTTACTTCACAGCAAGGGTTATACAACATATATGTACATCACTTGTAAGACTTATGCGTCACAGAAACAACAGACTGTTGTATGCAGTGTAAAGACCAAACTACTGTACTCACTGCTAGAACCACGCTGGCCTGTGGCTGGAGCTGGGGAGGGATGGGGGCCTCACATACCAGACAGGTGGGTGTGTTGAGGGGTACCATGGACTTACAGTACACACACATCCCCATCTACATATAACAAATGATAAACAAATGTCAGTAAACATGGTAACATATCATTCTGTGGCCTGAAAAAAATCTGACACTGTGATTGACTAACCTCTACCAGGCTTCAGAAGAAGTTGGAAAGAGTAGAAATTGAATAAATAGACAGATAACATGCCGGGGGAGTTGAACAGTTCTCTGCGGGAAGGATATTCCTTCAAACAAGAGAACTTCCACTGCACCTACTAAGCAAACTTGAAATTGTTCCAGCTTACTACACCCTTGTTGACTTAAATGGTCGATGCAGTACATGTCTGGTTTTGAATAAATACAATCAAAGCTCGGTCACCATAAATGGAATGTGATCTTGATCCAGTTTTAGCTCACTGAAGAGCTAATCTCCCACTGGTCGTAACAAAGAAGACAGACGCTATGTACAGTATTTACAGGTTCATTGTACCAGGGAAATTCCCCTAGCTCTTTTCGACAAGCACAATGAACAGTCAACCAGTTTAATTAATGTCCCGTCCTAGGGACTGCAACCCTTTCCAGTAGCGTGCATGTCGGGTGAGCGACAACAGCCTGGATTCGAACTCCAAACCTTTTGGTCCAGAGGCAGGGTCGCTAACCACTGGATTATGCATGCTACACCATACATGTAACTGTACAGCTGTTATAAGAACATCAGCCTCACCTGTCCCCCCTCAGGAGGGGGCAGTCTGGACCCAGGAACAGGCGGCACAGGGGAGCCACACTCGTTGCAGTACCGGGCATAGGGGTCAGAGGGCCTCGGTGCCATGCAGTAGATGCAGCTGCAAGAACAGCATTGTAAGTTTTCATGGGTGTTTTAGGCCAAACTATCAAAAACACTCAAAAAAAGATCAAAAGATTTTGAAATAGGAGGAAAAATCATATAATATATCAGATTTTACATTATAGTCAACAGTCTACATCTTACAATGACACATACCTTGTTACTGGAAACTTATGAGAACGAAAGTGAATGTTGAGACAGTATATAAGTTACCTAAGGAAGTCTGTCTCCCTCTGCAGTCTCTTGGCATGAGACAGGTTCTCTGGAGGTTCAGACATCTGAAACAGGAAGACATTGTGAGGTTTTTTGACACTTATCCTAACAGCCCCAATATCAAGTTGTACCACTGCTCATCTCATCCATCCCTTAGTCTATTTGTAAGTATTTGACCATTGGGGCAATGCAGATCATCTAACAACCTATTTTTGCCACCCTCCTAAATTTTCTATTCTTAAGTGTCATGTTGGTCCATTCTCTGATTAGTCTGAAATCATGCTCCCATTTATCCGTTACCCCTCTTTCTTCCTCCCTATACTGTTCCTTGCACAATAGTTTTGGCTAGGCCTGATGACCATAACACGTGACCGTACTTTAGTTTCAGACATACAATGCCATACCCACACACATGTAAGCTCAGATCTACATCAATCGTTTTTCAAGTGTGTCAACTCTCCCCTCCCACCTTGCCAGGGTCCACAGTAGGTCCCATCCTGCTGTTGAGGAAGCGAGCTTTAGTCTGCGGCCGCCTGTAGTCAGAACCGTCCAGCGTCAAGTCTGTAAGCACAGGGAAAAGAGCATATAACAGAAGAACAGTCTCCAATGTGTCCGTGAATAGTTTAATGTGGTTGGCGACAGTTTCTACTAGAAGGTACTTTATTCAACAGCCACTCAGTTTATATGCCCAATGTTTTTGCAACTGTCTGTCACCTTCTTTGGGGCTGCAATGGCTGGTTAAAATTTGTACAGTGCATTTGTGATACTGCAGCAGTGACAGTAGCAGTACAAATCAGAACCAGCTATTGTTTCCCTGAAGAGGGTGACAGACGGTTACCAAAATGTTGGAATTGGGAAAACCCACTGGCTGTTCCATAATAAAGCTTGTTACACAGTCTCTACTGTGACATGCATTCGTTTTGCAACTAACAATTTAAAACAAACACCAATTCTTTTAGACTAAAATCAAGGAAAATTTTCAATCCATTCATAAGATATACATACATGTACAAGCAGTAGTCGTAAGAATAATTTTCACCACTGCCATTAGTTACAGAATGACTTACTCTACACTCCCAGCCCTCAGCCCTACCTTCTATCCTGAGGTCCCCCATGTCAGCCCTACCTTCTATCCTGAGGTCCCCCATGTCAGCCCTACCTTCTATCCTGAGGTCCCCCATGTGCGCCCTACCTTCTATCCTGAGGTCCCCCATGTGCGCTGAGGCATCTCCTCCCTCTTGTAGAGTCTTCTTCAGGATCTGACCTATCAGGTTGTGGGACTCCTTCCTAGCTGTCTCCTGGTATACAGGAACAGAGGAAACAGTCAGTGCATTATGCATAGGAACATGTATCAATGAGTTGGCAGAACGTACTGAGCTTGTGCGAAACACCAATTTTTCACAGTTTTCCTTGGATTTTGGTCAACATTGCATCAGGAGTTTATATACATTTGTACATATTATATATAAACCTTATATACGTACGTGAATATGACCTTATATGAGACGTTCTGCCAAAGTGCAAGTACAATTCAATGTACAATACGATGGGTTTTGCGCAGATGTAGAACATGTACCTTCTGCATGCATGCTACATGTACCATTCCAGCCCATCTTCCTGTGTCACCAGCATCCTTCCCTTTACACTGAGCACATGCAACAGTACCCTGGGTGCCAGACTGTTTTGAGGACCAGCACCCTGAGAAACTTGCTCAGAGTGTAATTGAGGAGTGTCTAATTGGTAAAATTTCCTGAGGGACAAGTGTTAGCCCTGGAACTGATGATATGGCAACAGTCTGGCACCCAGGCTAGTGCAACAGGGACTAGGTCATGCATGCATGTACATACATGTATTCTTGAAACAAATTTATGCACTGCCAGTCAACTTCACCTCTTCATTCTGCAATTGGTTGTTTCTTACTTTATCTTTGCATTAAAGAAGACCTTGCACAAGTTATTGTGGAAAAACTGGAGAACTGCTACAGGACATGCAACTGAAGCCTGAGAGCAGGAGAAGAATGAAGAAATAGAGAGATGTGCACATGTACCTTCCTCAGTCTCTCCTTGGACCTCTCAGCTGCCTTTTTAGAGGTCCCCTATCATTGTGTAACAAGCAAAAGACCAACACAGAATAAAGTGCTTGAAATACTAGGAAAGTCTAGCAAAGTGCAATATTCTTTTATTAGAAATATGTTTAAGAAGTGAAATAAAATTATATAGGTATTAATCGGTCAATAGGATAATGCAAATACATGTATCATGTGTCAAATGGCATTGAGTTTGCTATTTTAACACAATTGTTCACCAAATGAATGGCTTCTGCAAACATACTGCAAGACTATATTTGGACAGAAATGGTATTAAATTTGTTCTGTACTTGTATTAAAATTGAACAGTTGTGTAACATATAATAACAATGACGTGTTTTCAAATCGAAAGCATAGAGAAGGGAAAGTGCAGATATATTCTGTTATGTTTATTCACTGTTCCGATATTTGATTGATTATACATGTTGATATGCACAGATGTATTCAGAACAATCCTTCATGGTTTATTAAACAACACCAGACCAGCGTGCAAAATATCTGGTTGCCCAGTTGCCCCGGGCAACCAAATTTTACTCGGGGCAACCTATTTTTGAACCTAGGTAGCCCAGTGTGCTACCTGAATTTTAAGAATGCCCCCCCCCCAACTCATGCCCACTTGACTTGCATCACTGTATCCGGCAGATGCTTTTTAATTTTAGGCATTGATAGCTATTACTAGTGAAATATTGTCAAAGGCTTATGTATGTAACATTACTTAATTTGAGGAAAGTAGTAACTTATAGGTGGGGCAACCTAAAATTCTGATTTTTTAACCTAATTTTTGCGGTAGGTTTCCCAGTGATCAACCTGGTTCAAAAAAGTATTTTGTACACTGCAGACGTACCTGTTTCTTCCTGCGGTCCCGCTCCATGTCCCTCTGGAAGTTTTCCTGGTCGTCCTCATCCCGAGGCAGCGGCGGCGGCGCCACGTAGTCCACCTGGAACGTCTTGGTCACCACAGAACTCTCACGGCCGTCCCTGGAAAATTTTGTTTGTTTGTTTATCTAAGGAACCTCCAACTACAATGTAGTGCCAATACAACCACAACTCTTCCTGTAGTCCTCTTACAGACATTGTAAAATGCAAACATTATAACTACTATTTACAGTCACTTCTTACTACTTTGAAAAAAATGTTGCCTTACTAACATTTGCATAACATGTTTTTATTTAAATGTAAAACCGTAAAACAGTACAATACTTGTCCTAAACTCTGCTCCTAAACACTGACAACTATTCAGCAGCTGCTCCCTTATTTCCACCCTAAAGCTGCCAAACACATCCAGACTGGAGAGGATTTGCTTTGCTCCAACACACCCCATTCTGCACACTTGTCTCTGTTTGATCAGTTTTGCTCTAGTAGAAAACACTAGACCACAGGTTTCCTTCACAAAGCTTCAAGTATTAGCCTTCCATAGTGCACCTAGTCATGATGCGGGTTTCATACAAACAGCATGATTTAAGACTTAAATACATGCTATGCTGCCATTCTGTCGTGTTATGAGAGCGTGTACATTGTACGCAAGGCTTTCAATTGTCAAATAAGTCCTTATGATGAAAACATTATACTCAAGAGCACATCAGAATGTACTGCGCCGGTGCAAAACCCTGTTTTTCCATGGTTTTCGTTGGATGTTTGGTCAATGTTGCATTAGAATTTTGCCTGTTACAGAGGGTATCTTTTTTGATATAACATTTGGAAACTACAAACGGGATGTTAACCTTATATATGTGAATATGACCTTATATGAGATGTTCTGCCGAAGTGCAGTACGTTCTGCCGATGTGCTACACTCAAGCACCAAACGTCGCCTGACCTTGACAGTGCCAGAGCCTTGACAGCGACTTTGCCCTCCGGTAGAGTGAACGGTTCCCGGTACTTTAGCGTGGTCTTCTCTCCCATGCCCAGCTGTTTAAATGGTTCTGGCCTGGTGCCATCGTACGTGTACCAGAACGTGGTGTCTGGTGTATCTGTGGCATAAATCATCATCTCACCAGATGAATTCATGTCAATGCTCTAACATGAACAGAACACATCAAAATGGAAATGAAAGGCAATACTAGTAAAAAGCAGCATCCTGAAATCTCATCTGTGTTGGTAGATCTAGATGTCATTATGAAGCAATATTAAACAGATTTCCAACAACTGCAAAACTAGACTTGTACAGTTGAAAATTTGGCTATCAAAATTTAAAGTCCATTTTCCTACTTTAGAAATTACAGTTTAAACTTGCTTCATCATTAAAAAGCTGTAGTTTGCTAAATCACTGCTAAAAATCTTCTAGTTTAATTGGGCTTTTAGAATAAAAATAATGTATAAAATTATACTCCAAACTCCCCTGCATTACCTGACTTGAGCTCTATCCTGGTGTTGGTGTCGATCCACAGTTTAGTCTTGCCAGGTACAGGCAGACGCAGCGGTACGATAGTGGGGGGGCAGATCGCACCAGCTGTCATGGTCACACCTAAGTTATAGTGGGCCTGGGCAGGGGGAAGGAGAAATGGGCTCTGTCTGTATTACAAGTAAACAAAGTACGGTAGACACATCCAGTAACACACACTAGTATTGATCGCAATGTTGTTTTTCACTTAGAGAAAATCTGCCAACTTATGTCAAAAATCTAAATGAACAAGTATATTAAGTTTGAAAGCCTCTATTGCAAATTGACAAGCCATAGAGATGAAAAAATCTGCAAAAGATAGAATGTGATATTGAGTTAAGAAAACTTTTAATGATTTAAACTTTAAAGAGGATGGAGCAAATTTTAGAGTACAGAATCAGTGGAGTTTTTGTACAGTTACTATGGTATGAAACACTTAAGTTACAAAAGCAACAGAGTACGACAATGTCATATGCATTAATCTATTTTTCTTGACATCTATTCACTGACACAAAGAAAGGGCATCCAACACATTATGTTCTGTAATTGGTCATTCAATTCAATATATGAAAAATACATGTGCCTGTCTTTTCATTTCTTTATCTTTAATCAAAAGAGGAAATGACATGAAAGAGTTGTAATTTCACAGTTAATGTCATGGTTCAATACCTTTATTAATTCCATTCTTACGGGTCATTGATCCAACTCATTAATTTTTCTAACGTTTTCCCCTTTGTTTTCTTTATTTTATCATTTCGATTTACAATGCCCCTTCCAACATTTGTTCTTGAATACATCATTTGATAATAAGTAGTTGTTACCAGTTCACGGTCGAATTATGAAAAATGGCATTTTTTGTGAAAACATGTGGGCAGAACCAAATACTAAAGTATTTGAAGAAAAAGTACTAGTAGTTCGTTGGTTTAAAAAGTGCGTGTTGTGTTATTTTCTTCCCTGTATCTTTTATTAAAGTGCCGCGCCAGCATGTATTCATGAAATAGTTGGCAGCTAAGAATTGCTCTAGGGTGACCATTGAAATAGAATGAACAACTTTAATTTCGTGTCCAGGTACCATCACCAGGTCACCTGGTGTTTTTCAGGTGAGTATGTCTGTGAGGCAGGTGACACACAGTAACATGGAGTATTACCATGGGTGGGCACACATGAATGGGTGTGGTGACTGGAGCCAAATACCACAGCATCACAAATCCCTCTCAACACAAAGGTGGGATTTTAGTTAAGCCAAGGCCATGACTGATATGTGGCATACCAGTAAGTTTGTAAGGCCACACCAATTTAATTGGTTGGTTCTCGGATTCGCCTCTTCATTTTTTTCTGATTTGCAAAAAAAAAAAAAGATTCTGGTTCTGAATCAACTCAAAAATGCTCATATTTTGCCCCCAACACTTGAGGAAATTCCTTTTTTTCCTAGTTGTTACAGTTTTTTTCTTTTTTCCATCTATCAATGCACTTGGTTTGATTAAAAGTTCAAAATTTATAGTAAATTATACTTTAAATTTTAACCCAGCCTTTTTTGTTGACTTCATGGCTCATATTCAATGATATTGTAGCATTTGGGGCTATAATAGGATGCCTAGACCTGTTTTTATTTATTTTTTTTTTGCCCTGTCGCTTCATATTTTTTCTGAAAAAATCCGAGAACCAACAAATTAAATTGGTGTGGCCTAACTAACAGTATAAGTTTGTTGCTAAAACAACACTAAAGCCGTGAATTGAAGAGGCTTGGCTTCTAGGGTGGTCATCTGTGAAGTCACTTAAAGTGTTTGAATAAGGATAACATAATGGCCCATACAGAAAGGAAGTGTAAACAAATTTTACAAGTGTCGGCGATCTTAACTGGGGCAATCTGATGTTAATGGCATGAGATAGCTTTATTGCACCCTGACAGATGTACTGTATTCCATATATATTTCATATAAGACTGCCACTTTCAATATTATTTATGATTGGAATAATTGCCATGTATTTCATGCATAGTGACGTTGACGCCAGTGTGCCTTTTGACTGCAATGATGTTATTTTCGATTCAATGAAAAATACAACAAGGATGTTTGACCACTTTTAGATGTCAAAGATCATTGCTATAATAATTTGATAAATCCAACCTGTGTGAATATAACATCACGTTGAGGTTTCACGGATGGCTGAACAAAAATATCTGACAGAAAATCGATCGTGGAATGTAACAAAAAAGCGCTGACACGCCAGCCCGATTCAAACCTAAACGTCTACGTTACCTGTGTGTGTAACTCACCTGGTCTGGGAACGTTCGAAAGCGCGGTTGTTCTCCCTTGTCACCTCTTTCTCGGATAAGTTGATTAAATTTACTCCCTGATATTCTACAGACGACGGATTTTATACGGAAACGCTGCTATAAGATCGGTAAGAGTGGCTCCCACTCGCCCGTGAAACGTCTCAAAATAATGTGTTCCACTGTTTATCGGTCGGCAGGTAACGCCAGTTAATGAGTCAGGGAGCCGGGTTGTTACGGACCTGCTGATTGGACGTCACGCTGGATTAAAAATTCCCAGCCAATCAGAAGCAGTCTAACACTGTCCGTTCGGTTTCGATAATAGAGGTGAAAGGTCAGCGCAAAGGCTGTCGGGATACAAGATGGCGGAGGTTCAATAATATTTTTCCAGAGTTGATTGAAAATGTGTCAATAAATATGAATTCTCGTCATACCCTCTGCTTTGTTTGCAGTCTTGTGGCGGTGTTAGTCTTTGCCGGTGTGGGGAGTGCACAAGGTAAGCACAACTCGTGGATAACGGACTGAAATTCTAGTGAATTTTGTGTTAAACAAAAATTATCATGCAAATATTAAATATTTTTATACTGCTGGTTTTCAATCATGTCTACATGTCTGTTTCCCTCCCCAGCCGGTTCCCAAGTGTGCCCTGGGCTTTACTGTGGTAAAACTTTGCTGGAGAACAACACATATTCCCAGTGCGGGGTGAGTAGAGTAGAGTAGAGTAGAGTAGAGTTGATTTGTCTTCTACTCTGATGAATGATGACACAGGAAGTGTTGAAAAAAAAATCAATTTGGCTTGACATTAATCTATAGAATAAATTTTATAATTTGTAATTTATACTAGATTAAATGGTAGGCTAATCCTTTGTTCTATAATTTTAACTATTTTTTTTTCGCTTTAAACAGGATTTTCCTGTCAATAATATTTATTTTTAGTATTGACATCTAACGTTCCCACACCTTACCCTATCTGAGGATTGTCCTGTAAATTGGTTGAAAAATAAGTTAAAGAAAAAAATGTGACAAAATTAACTGACCAGTAACAGCCAGGCCACAGTGACATCAGTTTTAAGCATGTAACTTTTACAAGTGTCTACAGTTCCTGACCATTCCCCGTGTGTACCCAGGCCTGCCCCCGTGGCTATATCCGTGATGACTCGTCTGTCTGCCGACCCTGCGACGATGCGCCGTCCTTCTACGACTGGTTGTACCTCAGCTTCATGGTGCTGGCCTCCATCATCCTGCACTGGTTCTTCATAGACTGGTTCTCCAACAGGCAGAAGTAAGGACATGCGTTCTAAAGAAGCACGTCGGCAGAACATACTGCATGCAGCTGCGCAAAACCCGTAATGTATTGTGCACAGCACTTCTGCAGAACATCTCATATAAGGTTGTATTCGCGCATATAAGGTTAACAATCCATCTGTAGTTTCCAAATGTTATGTCAGAAAAAATGCCGTCTGCAACAGGCAAAATTCTGATGCAACGTTGACCAAAAATCCAACGAAAACCGTGAAAAATTGGGGTTCTTTTACCAAGAGATTTGGACCAGTCACTCTGGTCTTCCTCAGTATGCTGACCCAGTGAGGCTTGTCACGTGACTTCTTTGAAGTGTGACGTCAACACTGGGTCGAAGACATCTTGAAGACGATGCTTTTTTAATGTTGGTTCTTCAACACTGCTGACTTGTGTTGTTTTTCCTGCAGTATTGTCCTGTTCTACATGTCAGCGCTGGTGGAGTGTGTGGGAGCGGCCCTGCTGACCCTGGTTATGGTGGAGCCCGTGGGGACCCTGAGTGTCAGGTCTGTATCTGTATCTGTATAGCCGGTGTAACCGCCCTTCGGTGTAACTCACCAGCTTCTGTATCTGTATCTGTATAGCCGGTGTAACCGCCCTTCGGTGTAACTCACCAGCTTCTGTATCTGTGTCTGTATCTGTATAGCCGGTGTAACCGCCCTTCGGTGTAACTCACCAGCTTCTGTATCTGTGTCTGTATAGCCAGTGTAACCGCCCTTTGTCATAACTCACCAGCTTCTGTATCTGGAGTATAGCCGGTGTAACAGCCCTTTGTCATAACTCAACAGCTTAGTAGGCACGCGGCGTGATGGCAGCTGGCTACATTACACCAAACAACTTGTTACACTCAATCTTTGCACATTTAATTGCAGGAGTTGTTAAAAGCTTTCTAGTGATGAAGTCCCAACTGTGCTTGGTGGCAACGAGTTCCACGATACGATAGTTCTCGGAAAAGACAAGTTTTTGAACTCCTCAATTCTTGCTTGATAAATCTGATATTTGAAGGCATGACTGTTTGTTGTTGTTCAGGTCCTGCAGTACCCAGCGACTGTCTGATTGGTACACCATCCTGTATAACCCCAGTCCTGGCTACACCTCCACCCTGCACTGCACACAGGAGGCTGTGTACCCACTGTGAGTCCTCAGTCCTGGGTCATCCTCGCCCAGGTGCCATCCTCTGTAGTTGTCTTCGGCTGCCTACTGTCTCTGGCTCTGTTAGCCAGCGACAGTAGGGAGTCGGCGGTAACTATGGAGGATGGCACCCGGGCTAGGATGATTCAACTTTGGCTTTAATAAGCTTTCAGTTTACTATTTTGTTACCACCTTCATGTGCAGATTCTGCAATGGTAGAATAACAAGATATTTGATGGAGTCAGAAAAGCAACCTAGGCACTCATTTTCAAGTGAGGAAATAGATGTAAGTGGCTTTCCCAAGGACACAACATTGGTGCCTGGCAGGTATTTGAACCCAGAACCTCCAAATTCTGAGTAAATAAACCATTCATTCATAGTAGTGTTTACAGATGATATGAATGTTGCAACACTAAGTGTGCATTCTGTATGTAGTATTTCTGTTGAAGAAGCATCTGTTTACCCCCCCAGACAATAGGAATGTTGCAGCACTAAGTGCACTGCGTTCTGTATGTACATATTTCTGTTCATTAACATAGTACATAGAATTAGCACTAGCTTGTACATTGTATATATTCATTGCAAACTGTGATGTCTTTTCTGTGACCTGTAATGAACCCATTGGGTATTTGCGTACAATAAAGGTCTTCATTCATTCATTCATTAACTTTCACAGGTACACCATGGTGTTCATGTACTACGCTGTGTCGCTGTGCCTAATGCTGCTGTTCCGACCTCTGCTGTCCAACCGGCTGTGCAAGAACAAGGGCGCGGCCTCCATCTACGCCGCGCTGTACTTCATCCCCATCCTGGTGGTGATACATGCTGTCGGGGCAGGACTCATCTGTGAGTCTTTGCAACATACAGCTGTACTTACTTTACCTTAGACCTTAGTTCCTCCTGTGCCTGATGGCACATCAGGCAGCAAGCTTTTACTTCCTCCCAGGGGATGTTCGCCCTTCTCAGATCTTAGTTGTACGTGTACTACAAATGTGATAATTAAGTACTGTGCAACATGTACAAGGTTTGGGGCTTGACGTTAGGTCAGGAATGGAAAGACGCACTGGATCAGTATAAAAGGATGCAATTTCTATAAAATATTATGTTTTGTATGAGAAAAAGAATTTGAATGAATCAGTACAAGTTAAATTTGAACTTTTTGGAGAAAAGTCAAAATGGTTGAGGGTAGGTGAGACAGCATGAGCCTGAGTAAGGAAAGAAGTTTTTGCTTACATTGTCCATGAAGTTATAATGATTGTTCTCTTTTGTGTCTTTCTATATCACAGACTATGCCTTCCCCTACATCGTGATTGTTGCTTCTGTACTGACAAATGCTGTGTATTTCGCCCAAAGAGACATCCAGGTAAGTGAGAAGCCATCTTTGTGTTAAATCAAACATGATGATGTAGTTATTAGTACTTGTCAAATAATGACCCAAAGATCTACGGTTGCAAAAAAGGATCAGCATTTTCTAATGTTTTTCGTTATACTCATAGCACTAGTCTAAGATTAAAACCCTAGCCCTGCTGTGCCCAACAATTGTTGGGGACACTACACTACACTACAGTAAAATCTACATAGTGCCCTGTATATGTATGATTTGAGGGTATTTCTCGTGCAACGCATCACACTGCAGCAAAACTCAACAAATGCAGAAGTAACTACGCCACCACGGCAAAAAAAGTCAAGGGTCTGTGACCTGATTAAGACATCAAATTACACTGTATGTGAAAATATGCCAGCAGGACATAGGTTAAAGATGTAGATTGGACACTGAACATTGAACATTAGTTCATGAAGTATGTGTTGTTGTTTTTGTTTAGAACGTGCGTCAGATCGTGAGCAGTAAGCGGAACATCCTGATCCTGTGCGGACACTGGATCGTCCACGCTTTCGGCATCATCGCCATCACCGGTCTGAAGGAGCCGGCGGTCCACGGGCCGCTCCTGTCCCTCACCCCCACCCCCGCCATCTTCTACCTGCTCACGGTCAAGTTCACGGAGCCCAGCAAGTTCCAGGGGGGGCACTAATCATTCATACAAACACACACACTCACACACACTCCTGCCATCTTCTACCTGCTCACGGTCAAGTTTACAGAGCCCAGCAAGTTCCAGGGGGGGCACTAGTCAAGTTCACTGAACCCAGCAAGTTCCAGGGGGGACACTAGTCAAGTTCACAGAACCAAGCAAGTTCCAGGGGGGACTCTAGTCATTCAAACATAATCGTATGACAGCAATGTTGCATTCTGCACAATGTCATAGTTTTTGGATGGGGTATTAAAAATCTGGAACTGGGAAGATTTTGCCAACGGTAACATGTAGTTTCCAATCCATGCTTATGGAAACAGTGGCCGATCTGTTGTGTTGTCAACTACACAATTCTCATTGCTCTAGCTACAATTATACGGATGTAAGACTTAACAGGATTCTTGTTCTGCTCGAACTGCACAGGATCAGTGCTGCTTACAGGGCATGAAGCGAACAGTTACAAAGTTATGTGCTTGTACATAGAGTCTTTGTAACATGTATTGTATGATGATACTGAGGTTTAACTTAGTAATCAAATGTTTTGCCATCTTGTAAATATTTTTCTGAATGTCTAAATATAAGACCTTGGAAGTGGCGATGTATAGTGGATACATGTTAGTAGTTACATGTAGGTCCCTTGGCTTTTTCTTGTGCGACCAACCATCTTATCAATGTTTTTCTGTATTCTGTATAGCCGGTATAACCGCCTTTCGGAGTAACACACCTTCGAGTTAAATGTTAAGGATAGTACTGTACTGGCTGGCTTTCAGTACAAATGTACTGAAAGAAATGTGCAATATATATATGATAGCTATACTGTATATTGTATTACAGTTTGTATGTACGTTTGTGGGATATTTGTATTGAAAGATCACACATGGTGAGAGTAATGTACAAGAAAATAATAGCTCCATACACACATGTCCATGGTGCAATAGTATGGATGAGGATGTAATCAGCCTGTACAGTATGGCTTCTGATGTTCAGTAAAAACTATATCAATCATGTAAATGACTGTAAAAATAGTTAACTGTTTTTTTTTCTTTAAATTGACTTTTACACTTCTTCTGTCCATTGCCATCTGTGACACAGAGTACTCGGACCCAATAAAAATTGACTCAGTATTCACTTTTATTGTGTGGTACTTTAGAAAGTTGTGCCAGAAATACTTTCATCATAGTGAATCACAGTCAGATGTATTCAAACATTTCCAGTCTTATGTCGAAGGTAATGGCAACCAAGCAGCTCAGTTCCACACTATTCGCACCACTACACTGACTGTACACTCATCTGGCAAAAACTGGCTGCACGGAGGGATGTTCAATAAAATTGCACTCTTTATTTGGTAGCAAAAAAGCCCCATGCAACATAATGCAATAACAAACGGCACATATTATAACGCAGACTCTGTCAAATTGCAATCTCTCGGGTAAGGCATGATCTGGTGTGTAGCCAGGAGGATGTAAGCACCTACATGTAAACAATCAAAATGTTCAGGAGGTGTTGACCTTATGCATAAGTTGTACTAGGAATGGTTCTGGTCTTGAGCAATGCTAGATTCAGTCTCATACACAAGTCATCTTAGATTTGGTATTGTCTCCTACACAATGTAATTAATTATGGTGCTTTATTGGGAGACCGTATGGTAGAACTATCACATACAGTGATACACATGTGTGGCTGAGGTTTCTTATGGAAATTCTGTTATATCCTTTTACAGTGAGATACTAACATACAAATCTCTGTTATGAGTACCCAAGATCACCCCAGAAGCGTTTTTTTTAATGAGATCTAATATAAAATGGCTTGAGGAAGTCTTCCATGCAGCATAAGGCCCGGCACTCCCCAATTAAATTTCTGCACAATCTGATTCAAACAGCATCTGTAGGTAGTTTCCAAGCAAAACCAGGCCTGGAAGTCTTATATAAGGTTGCCTATAGTATTCACAAAGCTTCAGTCGATATCAAACATCATCTACATTTACCAATTATTCACAACAGTAGGACAGGAAATTCCCAGGTCATGGCTGGTGCTTCAGTGACTGTACATCTGTGGTGACTGTACAAAAGTGTGGTGAACATAAACAATGGAGCAGACAGACAGTACATGGAGGTGTTAGTGCTTCAGCATTGGCCAAAATGCAGCAAGAATACACTCCCCAATGATAGCAAATAAAAGATTTTAAGCAGATCATATATAGTATGTAAATGAGGAATACAGTTTTGCCTTATACTACAGCTACATACAGTTTATGCAGTTTAGTTTTAGACATTTCTTTTCCATGTAATACGGTACATGTAAGTGTCCACAGAAAAGTCCAGAGAAAACTAGGGAAGGGACAGTTATAGGAAACAAAAGATTTCATCTGTAGAAACTACCAGGCAAACACTACTAACACATTGGAATAAGGTATGAACAGTACAGAACGATTGAAAACTACAGCAAATCATTATCTAGAGTATGTAGCAATTGGTGAAAAGATGGCAACAATTTATAAGTACTGAAAGAAGACAGAGCACCATAGTACATGATATAATACAGTAGACTAAGACTGGTGAATGCTACAATGACAGAATTGCAACACCCCAGTAACAATGCACTGCTACACGCTACACGCTCCACCCAAGAGCAATCCAATCGTGTTACACTACTGCTACACTAAGCAGAAAGATATATCATAATTATCGCCTGCCTGCCCTTGAGTGCTGCTCACATGGCAAAGATACAAAGATAGCAATAGATGGCTCCGGCCCTGAGGCGTCGCCAAAAACGTGCAACACACCACCCCTGGGAATCTGTACACCACTGAGTGGGCCTCAGCCCTTTTTGTACAGCAATACACGTCTGCAGAACTCACACGTCCTGCCTTTTATGTACATCATACAAAAGAACAAAATCTATATATATATAGATATTTATAAATTATAATTTTTTGTACAGTTTCTACAGATTTCTGCAGAGCCTACTGGAATCACCATAGTTCGTTGCTCTGCTCGGCTCTAGGCTGACCACAGTGTCAGCGTATTGTGCTCTCATACATTCTCAATGACGTCATCTCAATGTAATTATAGTGCAACAGGTATTCTCTAACATGTTTGCATCTTCCTAACTGGTAATGATATTCCCCATGCTGTTCTGGTGTTTAGTACTCCAACCCTGTTACAACTACAAGTACACTCACAGTTCTCGGTTGTCCTGTAGTTTAACCCCATAAGACACTTGTCTAAAGCCATGAAAATCCCACGCATGTATCTGGTGGCTTCTGGTCTCATGAAGGTCTTCTGTAGAAAACCTCCATCATGGACCACAGCTTCCCTGTACTTATTCCATCACTTCTTGTGTACAGTATACTCTTATCATGAACCCCCTACAGTTGCTTGATCACAGGTAACAATAGTGTGTGCCTAACTTGTTTAGAGCACACCCTTACATAATGAAGAAGCCCTGCCAGTTTCAGCCTTTGAGCATTTCAGCAGAACGTACTGCGCCTGTGCAAAAGGTGTAATGTATTGTGCATGTCACTTCAGCAGAACATCTCTTTTAAGGTCATATTCGCATATATTTAAGGATGACATTACGTCATATAGTTTTGAAATGCTGTGTCGGAAAAGATACAGTCTGCAATGAGCAAAATTCTGATGCAACATTGACCAAACAGATTTGCAATCCAGTGAAAACTGTTAAAGATCTGGGTTTCGCACAGGCGCAGTACATGTATATTCTGCCAACGTGCTCAGCCTTTACAATTACTAGTATAGTCTAGACTTGATTGATCCAGCAGGATAGGCCACAGTTCCCATCAATGTACCTAATCGTTCTAATCTACATGAAGAAATCTTGTCTAACACACCTGATCATTTTCTGAATCTATAACAAATTATCAATGTCTCTACAGTGAGCAACAATTTCTTGTTGGAAACATACATGTACACACAACATATTTAGGTTATTTCACATAATTGCCTGATAGTCCTTGATATGTACACCAGTCATCAAATGCATCAATAAGAACCTATTCCACTTGTGATCTCTGAAGAGGACGTGGTAGAAATCCACAGTTGTTGGAAATGTTTGCCATTTCTTTCACGATGGGTCGCGATCTGTACCTGTGACAAATGGCGTACATTTGTAACTGATTTTCCCTCCTTGATTGTGAAGTTTGTGCCGTGAGAGTCCTGACATGTTGTGGAATTGCTCAGCAGCTGATGTGATGTGGCACAGTCTAATCTCCAAGCAGATCATACGGTGGCCAAGGTAGTATCCATTGGCCAGAGGAGTGTCCATTAGCCACCAGAATACAGCATTATCTGGTTCAGTAAGGTGCGTGAACTCCCACTCAAATTTGTCCCAGATTCAAGCTATAAACCACTTGTAAAAACTTTAATTGCTGTTGATAGGGGTACAAGGAGGGGCAGCAACACCATTTTTGAAAAGACGTGCTCCTCCCTGAGTCCCTGTGCAGATCTGGGGTGGCCAATGGATACTGCATGGCCAATTTAATACTGTCCTTTGTGGCCACCGAAAGATCTGCTTGGAGATTAGTACGGCCAGTTCCCCGTGGCTATACCTCCGCGCCCAGATCCAACACCCCGGACTCGGCGATCGGCACAAAGTTGTCCTCGATGCTGACGAGCAGGATGGGTTTGTCGACGTGCGAGCGGCGCGCGGCGTCGCGGTGGCAGGGCAGCCAGCGGTGCACGACCGTGCCCTCCATGCCCTCCCGCGGGCTCCAGTCCCGCCACACGCTCTTACCCCCCCGCTGACGCATGGACTCCTCCGGCCACTGCAGCCGCCGGCCCACATTCACCGTGTCGTACACCTGGCCTACGTCGATGATCTGTGCGGGAAACAGTTCAGGACATGTGGTTACTGCTCAGAACTAGGGTGCAATGTATGATGTAAAAAAAAAAAATTTCACGGCTCTCAGTGGCAGATATGAGATGTTGTCACATCGGCGCACCAAATCCGTAAGGTGTTTTTGGCACCCTGACAGACAGATTAGCCTAAGAGGCTCGGTGGGCGTCACTCCACTGTATAGGTGGGGAAGTCGTGTAGAGTGCCTTTCCCAAGGGCACAACGTCGGGCCACGGTGAGTTATCGAACCCGGGACCTCTCGGTTCCGAGTCCAACGTATGTATGATGTTACACTACACTTCAACACCTGGCCTATATCAATGGCAGAAACAGTTCAGGACTTGTGGTTACTGCTCGTAACTAGGGCAAAATGTTACACTGACACACACGATGGCCTACACAATATGATCTGTGGTGGAAACAGTCCAGGGCTTGTGGTTAGTGCTCAGAACATCTACTGAAAAGACTACATAATAAAAACCTCTTATAGTTTACACAATATTTAAGTACATAATGTTTCACTACACACAACACCCCAATGGGTGACATGTGTGTCATACAATTGGCCTATGTTGATGATCTGTGGTGGAAACAGCTCACCACATTACCTGGCTTACAATATTAATCTGTGGCAAGAACAGACCACAAATAACCTGCAATGTTTCACATGAGGTATAAACGAAACAATGGGAGTGGGTTCTAAACAGTTTGTAGTATGATCCATACTGTCTAAATTCTGCGTGGTGCAGGTTAAAGTTGTCTGGTGCAGGTAATTTTCAATGTTACCCGCCCCAGTACAGGTATGCAGACAAAAGTATTTTGAGCCATGACTTGAGTATAGTTCCAGTGAAGTAACTGCTTGTCTACGTTACCTGCACCCTCTGCATGAGGGCCTCCTTGCTGCCGTGGTCCCCGATGAAGCCGGTGATAGTTGCTATGGGCGTGGCCGTCTGCTTGTTGGCGGGGCTGGTGAGTGTGGAGGCGGAGGTGGAGCTCACGCTCAGACGGCTGGCGGGCGGCGCCTGGCTCTCCGTCGTGCCGGCGGTCACGCGGTTAGAACTGCCCGAACTGTGCCGGTGGAAGTGCCCACCTGACGGGGGAGGGGGTGACAGGATATGAGCCAACTACCAACATGGGCAAAATGCTGTTTTACCAAAGTTACTCAAGCAACTGGATAGATTTTGAAGCTTTGCCGACGGAAGTGTCTACCTGACAGGGATACAGGCAAACCTGTCAATCAATCAATCAATCAATCAATCAATAAATCAACCAATCAATCAATCAATCATTCAATCAGTCAGTCAGTCAATGTCCTTTCTTTAGACTGAAATGCTTGGAAGCAAACCTGTGTTAGTTGCCATAAACCATTATAGCTACCTGTCCATAGTAGTCACTTTTTGTTCATGCCTTGAATCATAGCTGGTGTGTTACACTGAAGGGAGGTCATACTGGCTATACCAAATTTTACAGATACAGATACAGTACCTGTGCTTGTGGTTGTAGTTGGTGGTGCAGGTGTGGAGCCTGACGTTGTGTTCTGCTGCTGCCCACAGTTGGTGTTGTCGTTGTTGTCCTGTACACCGGTCCCCCCACTGTTACACCCTGCTCCACAGGTCTTCCGTAACCTGGGGACAAAGTCATAGTCGTCACATGAAATCCCCGAGCCACTCAAGTACCGTACGCAAAACTAGATATATGAAAAAAAGTATTCAGCGTGCGTGTCATTCAGGCATGGAACAAACTGCCACCGCACACTGTAAATCAGAAAACCATCAATGGATTTAAAAGCAGCATTGACATCAAGTACATCAAGAACTCGATGGATATAGGAGCTACCAAGGGCTATCCGCCCACTTAGGCTTGTGTTGAACGAAACAGCAAAATCTCATTGTTTTCTGGCCTTCTCCATGTTTTGATAATGGATGACTTGATGACTTCTGGACTGAAACTCTATGCTCAATAGACAGTTACAACCTAACAGTAAGACCAATATCGAAGCCTGATCACTTTAACATTGATGACAGATCAGTGTGTGTTTTCTGACCTTTCTGACCTATGCTCAACTACAGACAGTTATATCCAAACATTGAGACCAATATTTAGCTTTATTATGGAGTGTTTTCTGACCTTCTCCATGTTTTGATAATGGACGAATTCTAGACTCAACTCTAGGCTCAACTACAGACAGTTACAACCAAACATTGAGACCAATATTTAGCTTTATTATGGAGTGTTTTCTGACCTTCTCCATGTTTTGATGATGGATGACTTAATGACTTCTAGACTCAACTCTATGCTCAATAGACAGTTACAACCTAACAGTAAGACCAATATTGAAGCCTGATCACTTTAACACTGGTGACAGATCAGTTTCAGTTTATTGCGATACCCTTTAGCCCGTTAGGGCTAATCTTCCAGGGCTCATACACATCAAGTGTTTTCTGACCTTCTCCATGTTTTGATGATGGATGAATTGATGACTTCTGGACTCAACTCTAGTCTAGGCTCTAGGCTAAACTACAGAGAGTTACAACCAAACATTGAGACCAATATTCAGCCTTATTATGAAGTGTTTTCTGACCTTCTCCATGTTTTGATGATGGATGACTTGATGGCCTCCAGACTCAGCTCGCCGCCCACGATGCTGTTGAGCTGCTCGTTGGTGTTGGAGTAGGAGGTTGTGAGGGGCGACACGTAGATGGGGTAGCCGATGGGCTGGTCGCACGACGAGTTGATCATGTTTCGCAGCGCCTGCTTGGCGTTCTGGATGGACCCGCGCTCGGGGTTGCGGTTGCGCAGGAAGACCAGCTCCTGCTGTTGGCCTGCCCACAGGCCCCGCACGCACTCTCGGTTTACCTGGGGGCAACGGGACAAAAAAAGTCAACATCAATACGCAAACTCATCAGGGATTTAGGTATGTTATAACATAATATTTAATTATGCTGTTGGCCTGCCCACAGGCCCCGCACGCACTCTCAGTTCACCTGGGAATCCAATTAATCATTGGGTATATATATATTTGTTTATGATAATGTTCCTGCTGCTAGCCTGACACACTCACGGTTCTAAGGACAATGGGGCAAAAAAAGTCAACATCACTATCCAGACACATCAGAGATTTAGGTGTTCTATAACATGATACTACAACAGCAACCGAGTAACATGACAAATTGGTTTTATTTCAAGCATGTTTCGTCTAACGATGAGTAGTGATGTTTTGTCTCACCTTGATGACTCTGAAGCTCAGGTATCTCTTGTTCAGCATGATGATCTTGTACTCGTCAGACCCATCATCAAGTACATGCCTGTGGGTACAAGATGTTACCATGTAAGTAGGTGTAAGCCTGGGAGCATCTGACAATACTATTGTCTTTTGCTGTAATAAACAACACATGGTTACAGAACTTAAGTATAGGGATACCCGGACATTTTTAAGATTAAAGAAATAAATAGATACTAGTAACTAGGAAGGTAACATTTGCAAAGCAAATGAATATTGTTTAGGCCATGTTGATTTGATTATATGGATGACATCCACGCGCGCATGAATTTTCGGCCGTTTCAAAAAAAAAAGTTTTCAACCATACTGTAAATCGTACAAAACAGTTGCAAAATGAGCAAAAATATACCGTAAGTTACAAAAAAACCATACCAATGTCGTAGAATGCCAAAATCAAACGAAAAAAGACTAAATTGTAAAGAAATGAACTTGAAGTCTAGATTATTCGCCAAACCATATTCTGTCCCATTTGTTCAACCCTCATGACCACGTAGATTTCATAATGAAAACAACTTTTTTTTTTTGCAAAACTTTTTTT